AGGATATTGTTGAAGCTTTAGTGTGCATCAAGGATTGAGACCGTTCCGACCAACGCTTACACGATACAATCTCACCGGCAAACCAAGAATGGATCGACGAATTTAATAGATTAACTTTTAATTTTCAAGATGATCCTTCTGCTTCATCTTGATAATTTCTTTGTAAATATTTATTTACTTTGTAATTTCTAATTTGTATAGTGTTTATTGTAATTTGTAATCTTGTATAGACTTTGTAAGTTCATCAAATTTGTAATTCGTCACACAATGATTGCACTCTTTTTTTCTTACCAAGTTTTTATCCCAATTGGGTTTTTCTTGGTAAGGTTTTTAATGAGGCAATCATAAATTACAAATTTAAAAATCAATGAAGAAGTAATTTTTTTTATATAGTTCGTTTGTGTCGTGTGTTCATTTCATATTTTAAATTGTAATATACACAATTACACATTGTAATTATACAAATACTTATTTCAACAACATAAAAATATAATATAAAAAAAAAAATTTCGGGCAGCCGGTCGAGCATCGGCCAGCCCGACCGGGCACGGGCAGGCTTCCTCTGCCCGAAGCCCGTCCATGGGAATTTTCGGGTCGGGTCGAGCAGCCCGAATTTTCAGGCAGGTCGGGTTCGGTCATCAGGCAAAAATTCAGACTTTTCGGTGGTCACGGGCGGCCCGTCCAAAGTTTCAGCACTGCCCGTTAAGTACTTTGGCCACATTGGAGCGCCACCAATAAGTCAAATACTTACACGTGCACACCCTCGCCACGTCATACCCTCCCGATCTACCAGACCTCGACAAGCTTTAACTAATTTAATATCATCCATCTAATCTAATATAATCTACCATATCTAAATAGTGGTAATTTCCCTTTTAGAGTTGGCTCTTATAGAGGCATTTGTTTGGTCTCTTTCTTTCTTTTTGTCCTTTTTTTTTTAAAAATTTTTTTTTTCTCTTCTCATGTTCTTCTTCTTTTAACCTTTTTTGCTTATTGACTTTTGTTTTTTCCCTAATGTTCTTTGACAGTTCATCTTCTTTCTTTTTTTCACTTTCTTTTAATTAAAATAATTCGTTTCAAATATGTCCCTGCTTAATTTCTTTTTGTCAAAAACTTCTATGTTACTTTAGTTTTTTTTTTCTTTTTTTAACTTTTACTCTTTTTCCTCCTTTTTTTTCATTTTTTCTTCTTTTCTTTTGCCTATTATCTTCTCTTTTTTTTTCCTACATTCTTTTTGGCAATTTTTTAATGATATTCATAATACTTTCTTTTTATCACATTCTTATAATAAAAATAATTCTTTTCACACATGTCCTTACTCAAGTTTTGTTTTTCGATCAAGAACTCCTATATAACCTTTTTTTATGTGATTTTTATGAATATTTTTCTTCCTCTTGCTTCAATTAATGGACCTTCCTTTTAAAGAGGCCAGCTCTTTTAACACGAGATAAAATTTACAAAATTATTCCTTGCATGCTTAACTAGTAAGGATAAAAAAAATTAATAGTAAATATTTAAAAATTATGAGTTTAATAAAATAAAAGGCAAGAGTAAAAAAGTAAGGAAAAAATGACTTTTTCAGTATGCTATCATGAACCAGGATATGGTCTATTACAATTAGTTATGAATTTTTACAATTAGGGTTTTAAATCAATAATTTCCTAATATTAGTGTTTACTTATCTATTTGACGGTGTAATGAGAATTGTATTCTCTATAGGAATTATAATGCTAACAATGTATCTACTAAAATGTACATTTCTACCTAATTATTAGCTCATGTCATTGTGTGCTTCAATGTTGCATTTATTCCCTTTAACAAGGGTGTTGATGCCAAAATCTAGCACAACACCGCGTGTGGAAGAGCACGGTAACAGGACTCTGTTGTCCACCTATTCTGGTCAGATCCTTAGAACTGTTCTACTCAGGTCCTAGCACTGTTCAGGACGGATCCCTAACATTGTTCTGACTTGCAACGAAAGAAGAGATAGCGTCGTAGTGAGGGGGACAATTGTGTGGTGTCTGCCAATCGCACTCCGATGCTCAAGTTAGTGTTCCGATTGGGAGCAACAAATGGGTGGGCAGAGTTAGATGAGGAAAATGTATGTACCTTTGTGAGCTAATGAGCTTGGTATTTATAGAGTAACCCGAAGGTAACCCGGGTGTAAAGTGGATGCCACGTGGTAGTTAGTTGGTTGATTGGGCATTGGACATGTTCCGCCTGTTGGTGTCATATGGTGCTCGGACAAGATGTTTAACTCAGGGCCCCGTCGTGGTCTGGTCAAGTGCCCGGTCTGGTGCTCAGTCGGGGCTCAGCTCGGGGTCCGATCAAGACTAAGCTAGGGGTCTGGTCGTGGTCAGCCCGGGGCCTTGTTATGTGGTCAGCACGGGGCCTAGTCGGGTTGTCAGCTCGGGGCTCGGTCATGTCCTCGACCGGGGTTCAATTGGGGTTCCACCGGGGCCTGGTCGGATGCTCAGCCTGGAGCCCGGTTAGGGATCGACCAGATGCCTGGTCAAGTGCTAGGCTCGGGGCTGGCCGGGGTCTTGGTTGGGGCTCGGCTCAGGGCTTAGTCGGGTGCTCAGTCTTGGGCCCAGTCAGTGCTCGGTTTCGAGCCCGATCTGGTGCTTGCCCTGCGGCCCGAACATCTTCTTCTGGTCATGAAAAGACCACCCCCAAATGTTGATGTCTAAGCTGACTTAACACCCACGTGCTCGAAAGCGCAGTGTTCAGACTCCTATCTCGATCTTAGTATGGTTGGTGCTCCGCCATGTGAATGGGTTTGGGACTAATGTCTTGCACGGGAAGAAGAGATGAAACTCTAAAGTAAAGGGGACACTAGTATGGTGCTTGCCAAATACACTCTGACGCTCAAGTCTGCCGAGCTAATTTGGAGCAATAAATGGTATGATAAGAGTTGGAAAGGCGAATTGTCCTTACCTTTGTGAGCTAATGAGCTTGGTATTTGTAGAGTATTTTATGGATCCTAGTAATACTCGGAACCCGGAGGTAACCCGGGTATAAAGTGGATGCCACATGGCAGTTAGTTGGTTCATTAGGCACTGGTCCTGTTCCGCCAGTTGGTGCTGGATGGTGCTTGGACAAGGTGTTCAACTCAGGGCCTCGTCATGGCCTGGTCGGGTGCCCGGTCTAGTGCTCGGCCCAAAGCTTGGCCGGGGCTTAGCCTGCAGTCCGGTCAAGGCTCGACTAGGGGTCTGGTCTGGTACTCAGCCCAGGACCTGGTCAGGGCTCGGCCAATGGCCTAATTAGGTGCTCGGCCTGGGGCTCAATCTGGTGCTTGCCGTGCGGCCCACTCATGTTCTTCTGGTCATGATAGGACCACTCTCAACAAGGGATTAATACTAAGCGGGTTTATGGATTGATATTTTGTTTTCTTTATTTTTTATAGTGTGTGGGGCTTTTTATTTTTTATTTTTTTCAGAGGAAAAAAGGCAATTCCACAAACTGGGAGGTTCATTATGTGGCTAGGGAAGACAATTCAATAGCTCATGCATTAGCATCTTTTGCTTTTCATTCGATTAGAGATTTTGTTAATAAGGATGCTATTCCTAGATTTGTAACTCCTTTGGTTGCAGCTGATTTGTCTTTTAATGTTTTTAATAAACATATAGTTAAAAAGGAAAGTGAATCACTCATTCTATTTAATTTTCTGCTTAATTTTCTTTCTTTTCAGGTGAAGTAAACACATATGGTTAACTATTTTTTAAATTGATAGTAGGATATAAGAAAACTAGGATATTAATATTATTGACGATTGAAAAACTTTGACCAGTCAAAGGGTAATCTTTTGGATGTTTTAAAAATAATTTCTCCATAATTTTGATTAACTAAAAAGTTTAGGGTAATTGCAATATTTGAATGAAACTTTGCGGATACTTTTTAAATAGAACTGCGTGTTTAATAATCTCAAAAAAAAAAGATAAATATCTTTTAAAAGTACATAAATTAAAATTTTTATTCTCTATTTTTAATTAATAATTTTTTTAATTAAATAATTATATTAATAAAAAAATATTAATTAAAAATGAGGGATAAAACTGCACACTAAGGATAAATTTTATATTTTTCTCCGTGAAAATAAAAAAGAAAATAGAAGTATAATTTTAGGCGGGCCCCAAGAGCTTTCCTGGCCGTGAGGGGAAAATAGTCCTTTACCTTCGCCTAAAGGACTAGCGAGGTAAAATATCCAATATAAACCTGGCCAACTTTCCTCTTTCTTTCCCTTCCCAGTGTTGTCCTCTTCGTTTCTCTTTCCAGCCAACTTTCCGAGAAAACTTAGGACCCGAAAAAACTCTCCACGAAAGACTTTTGCTTAATCATCAAGCCATGACTATCACCATCGCAAAATACGACCTCGACTCACCGGAACTCCGCGAGCTCTACGACGTGACATTCTTCGACGAGGAGATCGAAACGCTAGTAACTAACAGAGCCTCCATGGTCACCGCTTGGATCGGAAACACCGAATCCATCCACCGCCGCAGACTCCACAAGCTCGTCGTCGGCCTTGACATCGAGTGGTGTCCCAACACCCGCCCCGGCTCTTCCAACCCCGTCGCCACACTCCAGCTCTGCGTCGGCCGATCTTGCCTCATCATCCAGCTCCTCTACGCGCGCAAAATCCCGAAATCCCTCATCGATTTCCTCGCCGATGACGACTACACTTTCGTCGGAGTCGGAATCGAAGGCGACGTCGAAAAGCTTGAGGACGATTACGGCCTGGAGGTCTCGAATGTGGTGGATCTTAGGGTCTTGGCTAGGGCGAGGTTCGGGAAAGTTGTTCCCAGGAATGTGGGGCTTAGAGAATTGGCTGCGCAGGTGCTTGGGACGGAGTTCGCGAAGCCGAAGAAGATCACGATGAGTCGGTGGGATAAGGCGTGGCTTAGCCCTGCTCAGGTCACGTATGCTTGTGTTGATGCTTTTGTTTCTTTCGAGATTGGAAGAATCCTCAAGGCATGGAAGTTTGAGGATTAATTTCCGTAATTTTCATAAGGCCTTATTATTATTATATTAAACAGTTTTCTTGTGGTTTGTGAAGTTCTCAGACTGCTCTTATTATTGTATGTATGTGCTTGCTCTTCTTTTCTGAGAAAATGTGTTAATTAACGATGTTTTTTGAAAAAACGTTTTGTAGAACACGTTTTGGAACGGAATTTGCTTTCTTTCTGTTTGTTGATTTTTCTACTACGATTCTTGTGAATATTGTTCTTCCGAACATGGGCATGCATGCATTTAGAGCCTGTAAATTGATTAATGTAGTTTGAAGCATGTTTGATTTGTATTATACTTTTATGTATAATTGATACGGAAGAAAAACGTTATAGGCCGTGCTAAATATATAATTAACCAAACAAAAGTTGTAGTTAAGTTCTTTATATGTAGGAATGTTTCTTACTTTTGAGTCATACAAAAGTCCAAAGAAGATGAGCCTGCAGACTGCAAAAAAAGAGTTCCAAGAAATCGGGTTGCATGTGAAGGACTTTTCTTAATGTATTTCTATTAGTTACTACTACAAACTCTTGACAAATCATACTTGCTTAGTTGCTTTCTATTAGTATATTTACTTTCTTTTCTATTAGCACGTCTTGCTCTGTATGTATATTCTTAGTTCTTTTTATATTTTTTTCACATTTCTTGTCATTTTGAGATTTTTTGTTTTAGTGCGATATCAACTTGGAGGTAATTACTTAGATTATCATTCAATTATGAGATAAATGATTAGCATAAATTTAAAACCTCTACAGATCTTTGAAATAATACATTTTGGGTTAATAACATATTTCTAATAGGGAATTCAAATACATGCAATTACTTTTTTCTAAAAACAGAGATATGTTTTGACAGAATTACTGATGTTGAAAACAATCATTTTAAAAATTTAGTGTCAGGATATAAATTGTACAAAAACTCAACGTTCATGCTAAAATACTAAGGCTATATTATCTTGATTTGTTCTGTTTTTCCACTCTAGAGTTGAAACAAATAAGTTATGACATTTTAAATCTTGAGTTTTCATGAGGATAGAAGAAAGAGTTATAAAAAAATAAAAAGAATAATAAAAAAAACAATCGAATATATGTTACTAGGTTAAAAAAACTAATGTGTTATTGCCCTTCAACTACATAATATTGCCTAACAGTCTACAGATACCTAACAAATTACATGTTTACAACTGACACGAGTAAGATATCACTTCAATACTCATGTGATAAACAGATCACTATTGATAATTAATTAATGGACAAATTATAGGAAATGGATGGATTAAAAAAAAAAAAAACCTATCAGTGTGTGTGTAGATATGGATATGTTGTTAATGGCATAAATTTTTTTGAATATTTATGATTGGTGACTATGCCACCGTGCACTTCATAATCAAATGTATCTGAATTCGAATTTTGGTTCGTATTTGATAAACATATTTATATATAATCATATAACTTGCTGATTAGGATAACTTTATTTAAGGATATTTATATTTTTATACCATGTGTTTTAGGTTTATTTAAAATCTATACTTTTAATTTTTTATCTCATCAAAATGTATACCTTCAAATTAGATTTAATACACAAATTTATGTCTTATTTCGGTTAATAATTGATTTTGACCTTTAAAATGACTAAACTATCCTTTAGAAGAAGGGAAAAAACACTAAAACTTTCCAACATTATGATAATTAAAAATTAATAACACAAAAAACCCATTTGCATGATATTTTACATATTTTAGAGGTCAAAATTGTAAGTTTTAAATTTTTTTTTTTAGGTTTTTTCCTTTTTCTATGTTTTTATTCAAGGGTGTTTTAGGTATTTTATGATTAAAATTAAGGATTGACTGCAAAAATGTATAAATTTGGATACTAAATCTAATTTGAAGGTATACATTTGATGAAATAAAAAATTAAAAGTATAATTTTTAAATAAACCGAAAATATAAAGTAAAAAAATGTAAATATCCTCTTTATTTAATCAATAACCGTATAAATAAAATATCTAACATTATATGATAATTCTAAATACAGTTATTACAACACTTTTTATGCATGAAAGTGGGTTATGTTTTTAGTTTATTTTAACTTACTTTTATTAATTTTAAATTACTTTAGTTTATTTTATTTCATTTATTTTCTTTTGATTTATTTTATTATATTTCTAGTTTAATTTTAGTTTTTATTTTAGCTAGTCTCCTCTAAATATTTATTTTGTCCCTTTGCATAGATGAAAAATGTTAAAATCACTTATTTCATCACTCTCTTTTTCACTCTCCCACTTCTTCTCTTATCACATGTCATCTCATTTCCATATTAATAAAAAAAAAAAGCATAAATATAGACCATTATTTTATTTGTTATTACAACACCGCCACTCTACAATAATATAAATTATCATATTGTTATTTTAATTTTCTCTTTATCATTTTGGACGCACGCTTTTGAGATTTTAAATTTTAATTTTCAGGTCCCGTTCATTTCGCTGATTCGAGTTTAGAATTCGAGTTGAGATGTGATTTTATGTGAGTACTTTTTACTGTAACAAAAAAGTTAGATGTGACTGTTTCTGAGAACTTTTTACTGTAGCAAAACTCAAATTCTAAACTCGAATCAGCGAAATGAATGGGATCTATTTTTCTCTCTTTCTTCCTCAACGATAATAGACCCTATACATTGTAGATGATATTCAGCATACTTGTTTTACATTTTTTTATGTTAAGTCGGTATATATTAATCCGTTATAACAAATTAGATAAATGATTAAAAAATTTATGATAATTAATGAAATTAAATACATATTACGCCACTTCATTAATTTTTTATATTTATTGAGTGATCAAAATAATAATGTAATCATTAAAAACTTGTTCATATATATATTTTATATGTGAATTATTCTTGACGTGTAATTTTTTTCGACAGTTAGTGTGTTGGAGCTTAAACATATGATGATATGCAGCATTCATGCCTAAATGTTATAAAATATATATTATAATATTTTAACATTTGCTAAATATTCTTCAAAAGTGTTGAACAAATATTTGATGAGGACGAAGAAAAAAAAGGTAATTGACACAGATAATCTCTTAACTTTTCAATAGGTGATAATTTAGTCTGGTTTTTTTTTTTTTAATTTTAACAAAACATTCCCTAATCTTTTTAAACAAGTGCAATTAACTCATTTCCATCCAAATCTGTTTAATGTTTTAATAATAAGCCAAGTGGAGAACATGTGATCAAATAGAGAAGGGTATTTTAGTAAATAGACAATTTATATTTTTTCTTTTGAACATGACAATTTATATTTTAACAACAATTAAATTAAGAAAGCAAATAAAAAAACCAAAAAGAGTAAAAGGAACGGATCAGATTTATTTAAAATAACAAACAAACCAAAAAGAAAAAAGAAAGGGAAAAATCTAAAAATAAAATCCACCGTTGATCTGGGAGGATAGGAGGCGAAGAGGGCTACGGTGGACGGGAGAAGGCGAGGACGATCCAGAGAGGAGGCACGATGGTCAGTCGGAGGAAGATGAAGAGGAAAAACCTACCTTAGTTGCTTACTGGAGTTTGATTCTTTTTTTTATTCTTCTAATTTCTACTGTAGGATTAGAAGATAGGATGAAAAACTCCATAGTAATGTGGTATATACATCCCATCTCATATGGGTCAAGATCAAACTTTTTATGGGAATGATTTTTTTGAATTTGTAAAATGAAATTAAATTCTTCATCAAATTGTTTTCAATAAAGCAAAATGGTTTAATTACCATTAGAATCATATTTTTCATCATAAATATATATTTCCTAATCTCTACAAGCAGCAGACAATTTTTCACTAATCTTTTATTTTTCATCGTATCTGTAACCCTTAAAGCTTGAGAACCCAAAAACCAAAATCGAGATCGCAAAGGCGTTTGCACAGGTGGGCAACTTGCAACGACATTCACAAGGTTTAGCAGATCTGAAGATGGGGCATGAGAGTAGAGCTTCATCGAGTGGCGATCACATCGTTATTGGCCGAAAGGAGGTCGGCGTTTTTAGAGATGGCGCTAGATGTGGGGTTGCGGGGTGGGGGCGTTGTAGATATGGGCTTGCGGTGGCGCGATGGGACTGGCTTGCGACGATGCAGGTTTGACGGCGGGTCCGACTAGTCGACAGTTATCTTCTCTCCGTTGTTCCAAAGAAAAAAAGAAATCCATCGTACCCTCTAATCCTATGTTTGGTAAGATGGAAAGAAAATATGATGGAAAGAAAATATGAAAATGATGGAAAATATCAATGATGGAAAGGAAATTAATTTTTTTTTATGTTGTTTGGTATAAGAATACGGAAAGAAAATAAGTTTATTTTTACTTGTTTGGTATTAAAAGTTAAATTGAAAGAAAAGAAAAAAATTTACTCGTAAATTATTTTTATACCTTTAAATTTTTGTTTTAATGTTGATGGAGAAAATGGTAGTTTAGTAACTTTGCTTATTTTAATTAGTTGTTTCCATTTTCTACCCACATGTGGAAAGAAAAAAAATTATAGGATCTACATGTATTATTTTTCACTCCATTTTTTCTTCCTTTCTCTTTTCTCTCCTGCTAAACAACTTACGGCCTCGTTCACTTCGCTGATTCAAGTTTAGAATTCGAGTTAAGATGTGATTTTATGTGAAAGCTTTTTACTGTAGTAAAAAAGTTAGATGTGATTGTTTATGAGAGATTTTTACTGTAGAAAAACTTGAATTCTAAACTCGAATCAGCGAAGTGAATGAGGCCACATTTCCACTTTATCTCTCAAAATCTCTCTACCTTCTTTCCTTCTACTTTTATTTCCTACCGAACATACTCTAAATTCCAAATTATCCCTTCAAAATCAAATCCCAAATTATAGTTGGCCTTTCCTCACAAAGAGGGCATTTTAGTCATTTCATTGAAATAAGGCATTTTTCGGTGAGAAATTTAACATATGTAAATAGAAAGTTGCTAATTGCACTATTTAAAAAGGTTAGGATTGCTTTGTTAAAATTAAAACAAGTTGAACCAATCTGTTAAATACTATGGCACCGTTCACTTCGCTGATTCGAGTTTAGAATTTGAGTTTTTCTACAGTAAAAAGCTCTCATAAATAATCACATCTAATTTTTTTGCTACAGTAAAAAGCTCTTACATAAAATCACATCTCAACTCGAATTTTAAACTCAAATTAGCGAAGTTTTTTGCTACAGTAAAAAACTCTTACATAAAATCACATCTCAACTCGAATTTTAAACTCAAATTAGCGAAGTGAATGAAGCCTATATGTGCTTATTTTTAAAAAAAGAAAAGAAAAGTAGAAAGATAAATAATAAATAATAGTAAAGAGTGGCAAAGTTGTACTAAAAAACAAAACAATGATCTATTATTATGTTTTATTTCTATGCAAAATTCTCAATGTTGCAAAAACATAAGTAAAAAAGTAGAGAGTGACGTAAAAATAAGTGAACTTAGCTCCTTTTTTTTCGCGCAAGTACATTAGGTGAAAAGGGTAAATATGTCAAGTTGGAGCTTAGATATGGTTAAAAAAAAAAACGTCGAAAAAATTCAAAATTGATCTGGATTGGCATAACCTCGCAGCCTCCAATACACGTGCCACACACCGCACTACGCCGTCAGATCTGTACCTTGGGGGTCCAGAGCGCGAGTTTCTTCACTCAGCCAAGCCAGAGCGTCCCATAGCCGCTTGTCAGCACTTTTTAGGGGTCTGTGGGATTGGAGAACTTTTGCAGAGAGCTCTAGATTTGGTGTGGCTTAATTGATTGTTTCTTCGGTTCGTTAATTTAAATTTTTAATTTGAGTTAAAATGTGATGTTGTATGAAAATTTTTTATTATAGTAAAAAAGTTAGTGGCTTAATTGATTGTTTCTTCGGTTCGTTAATTTAAATTTTTAATTTGAATTAAAATGTAATGTTGTATGAAAATTTTTTATTATACTAAAAAAGTTAAATATGATTATTTTTTAAAATTTTTTATTATAACAAAACTCGAATTTTAAATTCAAAATAAAAGCATAAATCTCTAATATATAACTTAAATAGCAAGGATTTTGTAGAAACTATGGCAGTAGCTAGTAGGATTGATTGGGAAGTAATAGCAAACGGTATTAGCAATAGACTCTTTAAATTTTTAGTGTTAAAACACTCATTTGTTTGCATGTCAAATTACTTCATCAGTATTCATGAACACACAGAAGGAAGCAGTATGTTATATCTTACTTAAGATCGTAGAAGAAACTTTTGGATAATTTGCTGGAACAAATCAATCGCGATTTATAGTAATGGGAACAAACCGAAAGCAGAGCAAATTAATATTATGTGTAAAAGTGATGAATGTCCTCAGAAATTTGTTTGTACAACTAGAAAATTTACTAGTGCCTACAAAAGTATTCTATTTTTCAATCTTCAATGTATTCAAACTCTAACCGAATTCCATTCAAACGCTGGTTTACGGATTCGATTTCAGATAATAGTATCGTGTTTGTCTTATGATTGAGTAAATGTAACGAAGCATAAGAGGTTAGTATAATTAGAAACTAAGACAGTTTGAATCATGATTGTTTTCTGTATTTGTCCATGATTCTGAATCATGATTCATGGTTCTCTACAGTGTTTTTCTCTCACAAAAAACACATATAGAACGATAATGGTCTTGAATCATAATTCTAAATCTATGAATTAAACGTCTACTAAATTACTCAAATGCTTTAGTTAATCATGCCATGCTTTAGTAAATTAAGCAACTTCCTCAAGTACTAAATGCCATTGCTTAAGTTGTAAGGAGAGTCCAAATCTCCACGGGTTGAATCGTATTGCTCAAGAATTGGAGAGCCAAAATTATTGAGAATGCCTTCTATTGCTTCTTCTAGATAACTTGTAGATGATGCTGGAGGCTTTTCGACTTCATCTTCTCTAGATCTCATGCATAATGCTCCTTTTCTCTGATTTTTCCATCTAATTATTAATCTTTTTCGTAAGGGACTTTAGACGTCGCCGGTTTTATAGCTAGGCGCGCGACGTCTAAAATGAATTAGGCGACAGTGACATCTATGTGGTTGAGATTTGTGAGTGTCTTCTGTAATGCAGGACTTAAAGTGAACAGATACAAATAGCAATTTAGATGTTCGTTCTAAATTCTACATGAAGTGTTGCAATTTGCATTGGATATTTGTTTATTTACTTATTTTCCTGAATATTTGTTTAGATGTTGGTGTTCTTATAATTATATGATGAAAGATTGTTTATGTTGTTACATGGTAAATAATTACTATCTCGAGTATTTCTAATTAGCTGATCGAGTTTTTGTTTACTAAATTATTTTGACATGTAAAACAGTTGTAAAACAGTTGATTGTGATGTGTTAACTGTTTGGAAATTCTATCGTCTGGACTGCTCTAAATTCTGCAGTTTTGTTGATTGATCTTCTTATTAACTATTAATACGACATTGTCCCTTTGTTATCAATTGTATATAAGTTTGCATTTTGATTTGTATATTGTAACTGGACTATTTTGGTTTTAAACTTTACTTTTGAATTTCATATCGTTTGAGGAGGTCAAATAATGATTAACGTTTTCTTGTTTTCTAAATCAAAAGCCAATTTCAAAATATTAAACACTGTAACTTTCTTATTTTTTAAACCCTAATTAGGCCCCGTTTGGAAAAACCTTTTGCCTGTGCTTTTGATAAGTAGAAAAGTAGTAAAAGCTATGACTTTGGGGTAATTGTTTGGAACCACATTTTTAAAAAAGTAATAAGCAATAAAAAAGTTAATGAGCTAATGATAAAGTTTCTAATATCTTTTACTCTTATTGAAACTCTGGTATAAATTTTAAAGTATATTTTAAAAGAATTGTTTTGAGAAGTCATATTTTGTGGCTTTGGTTAGAAGTTTTTTCTCTAGAGTCGGAGTTCTTCTAACAGATTATCCAAACTCGGTAAAACGTAATTTTTAAGTCTAGTATGCTAAAAGTAGCATCTAGCAAGCTCGGCAAACGGGCATAAGTACATGATAGCTAGCAACTAATTAAATGAAATAAAATCAGGAGCATTTTGCTACCAATGCCCATAGGAAAGATGTGGAATCGAGTTGCTAAATTGTTCGCAGCGTTGATTGCCTTAAAAATATGCGACTTCTCTTATGGTCATTAGATCTACTGCAACAAATTTCTGTTTGCTGAATGCTGATCTTCCTATCACTGATATTCATGCATTTAAAATTATAAATTCTATACTGTGTTTCAATTCCAAACAGAAGTCATCACTCCTCAACAATAACAAATTAACCACAAACTAAACCAAATATAGAACTTATGATAAAGTTTCTAAATATGTGTATGAATATATTAAAATTATCATCGATATATAGAGAACTTTTCTACACATATATAAATATGTGTGTGAATATATTATAAATCAACGGAAAAAACAACACTACTAATTAGTAACGCCCTGATCTAGTGAACTAGTAAATCAAGCTCTAAACTTACCAAATTAATGAATGAACCTTCAAAGCTTGAGGGACAAGTCAAGCTCCAGACTATTTCCTTCATGCGGATTAACGCAACTAGAAGAGGCCGAGACCCTGGCCATTGATCCCAACCCTAAATAATAGGGAGAGAAAAAGCCTCCAGGCATAGGAAGCTGAGTCCCATCAGTGCTAAAGCCGGGGACCACCAAAGGCTGAAACCTACCATCTCCGGGCCGCACCAAGTACTGCGGTGGTGGAAGCACGGTGGTTTGTTGGTTCAACGTGACAGGCGCCGGCCTAATCACCGGCCATCCTCCATAGCCATTGGCAAGCAGCAAACGTGGAAAAACAGGACTTGTTCCACGATGAGAAGATGGTCTATGAACCATCATTGAATGTGAATGAACTCCTAGAGCTCTCTCTTTTGTTCCATGCATTGGAGCATGAGTACTTGATGTTGCAGTACTATTGTGAACATCTAGAGCTTTCTCTTGTTTGTGCGTGTCCTGATGATCACCCAACGATAAGGAAGTGAGTGACTCCTTTGAGCCATTTTTGCTATCAAAATCAGGATTCTTCCCGGTCGCCTTCTTGTCGGTTTGGCCCTGATCGTCGGAGGAATCTGAATTCTCTAGTTGGGGAGAGAAGTAATCGTCGAAGCAGCGCAACAAATTCAGTTCGACGTGAGGATTATGTCGACCATCATAAAAAACAATTTTTTCAAACTCTAATGACCGCATATTGAGAGCAAAAGGCAGTGACTTTGCAAACCCAAAAATTTTGATGATTAGTTTATGCTGAGAGATTGAGGTGGTATTTCTGGAAGAAACTAAGCTGTCAATCTATCGTCGTAAAGAGTCTCTTAAAAGGGGTGTTTTATAGGAACCCAAAGCTTACATTATATGGAGTTTTTTACTTTCCTAAAACCAGTTTTGGCAAGTTACCAATATTAATTCCCCGGTCGGAATATGGAAACTCCATTGGACTAAAGTCAAATATGGATTAAAAAAAATGTAACAGAACAAATTAATAAAAGGAAAGTACCAATTATAATAATTATTATTATTTTAAAAGGGGAAAGTACCAATATTCCGCTTCAAATATATCTTTTTTGGATGCTTCTTTGTTTTGATCAAAGATGAGTGCTAAAAAAGGAAAGTAATCCAACCGTCCCAACATTCCAAATCTCGTGTTAATACAGGAACCTAACTTAATATTATTTTATATATATACAATTATAATAGCAGTTTTTTTTTTTTTTTTTTTTAATAGAAGAAATCGATTTGTACAATATAAGGAAAAATCCAATGAGAAAATTTAATAAAGTAACCTCTATATTCAAGAACGCCATGGTAATGCGAAAATCATTAAACTTATTAAGGCAAATGTTTCTTGCTACGAATAAATGTTCTTTAACAATGTGGTGGGGGGGAGGAAATCTTGCCATGAATACATGGTGTTTAACAATGTAGAAAAAGGCACAAAAATACAGCCAACTGTATAATCTAAATGTGAATGCTATATACCTATTCTCTGAGCACCAACCACGCTGAAAGAGGATAAAGCCCACTAAAGAATTTGAATAATTCACATTATCTACTGTTGAATTATGTATTTCCATTTTCTAATCACCACGAATGATGTTCTTTTGAGAGCTTGCCATCAGAAGTAGCGAGACCATCATCGAGTCTAGTAAATTCTCTCCGCTGTGGATACAGGACGCAGGAAGATGACAATTACCGTAATGTTGTCCTTGCTGCCACGCTCCGCAGCTTCGGTAGCCAATCTCTTGGAGCACATTCCAGGCTCTTTGACAGTGTCCCTAATTATGCTTATAACATCCTCGTTGCTCATAACGTCCCACAGTCCATCACTGGCCATTACCTGATGAGTGTATTGCAATATCAGTAGGTATGGGAATTTTTTCAAGAGGATTGAATGTGAATCTTAGCAGACTTCATATCAAGTACTGTGCGCTGCTCCATATTGAAAAATAATAATAACAATAATAATAATAATAATAATAATAATTAATAACAACAACAACAACAACAATAATAGGAAAAAAACAAAAAGCCTCATCTGCTGCTTATATTATCATTACAGTGATGAAAAGCAATTCAGATATGAAAAGAGATTCAATCTTGGATAAATAATTCGTAAAAGCGATTCAGATTAACCCGAAATAGCAGGTCAAGTGAAAATTCAAGATACACGAAAAAGGATTCAGCTTTACCAAATATTCGTCCTTTTCAGATAGAATAGTTTCGGTTATCTCAGGTTCTGCCGTTACAGCAGGCTTCAAATCGTCATCACCAATGGAGCGGGTCACCTGTTTAATGAAAGGGCAAAAACAATCATCGCTTGGGACTTCAACTTTACTGACTAAAGGAGATCCCATGTCCGAAAACGAGTTCATTTTCTCAACCAAATAGCATTATACAATCTACTTTAAACTCGCATACTGGATTTGTTAGGAGATAAAAGTATATCAACTTTGCATGTATTTATATATTACAGACCTGAAGAGCAGCAGCACCAACACGCCATGTATCGACTTGCCATTTGACTATTCCCCCTGCACTAACAACTCGCTCTCGCTCCTCAAGACAGCTTGCGATATGATCCTAATTTGATTGTATTTAGGACATTAAGAACTTATGATAAGCCAGGGGAAAAACAATGGCGAAACGGTGATAGCAACAAGTCCACACTCACCCTGCTTAGAACAACAGGACCGCCAGCCCGACATAAGATTGTTCTGCAATCACCGGCATTGGCAACAAAAAGCTTGTTCCTAACAATAAGAGCAGTGACCGCAGTGCAACCAGGATACCAATCTTTCTGAATAACTCTTTTTGATTCACGATAAGAATCCAGTTCCCTTCTGAATGCTATATCTGTCTCGACAAACGCTTTTATTAATGCATCAGCAGGACTGCATTTCAAATACAAAAAATTCATTTAGGAAAACTAATGAATATTAAATGTGCTGAGCCTAACATACATACAGATATAGCATTAAATAAAAATTATGTTAAAATGTAGTTCGTAGAAGAGTAGAAAGTAGAAACCTGTTATTCATGCTGCCTGAAGCTTGCAAGAATCCTGGCAGAGCTCGAGCTGAGAACTCAGCAGCAGCTGCACCTGCATGTTTCAGAGCCACATCCATTAGCTAAGCAACCAAAAATAGAATGCAGTTGGAAATGACACACCAAAAAAGTACTTTAACTCTACCTATAGACTATAGAGGTCAAAGGTTTCTCTTCTAAATTTTATATCTCACACTTTCAATAATTATTATCTATAGGACCAACATATGCAAAATAGCAGAAAACATTTGTAAAATATAAATTATTAGTTTGTTATTTTCCAAAGAAACACAAACACGTGGTGCGATGAGGTAATTTCGGCTGGCTAGAAAAGAAAAATGGAAGAAGAAAATTGCTAAATAATAAATAAAAATAAAATAAAATGTAGAAGAATCTCAGCCTGGCTTGTTGGTCTTCAAGAAGAGTAGAAATGCCTTGAATCCAACAAGCTTTCTTTAGCTAGTTATGGAGCAAAGGGAATCGCGATCACTAAGCAATCACAAACAAAAATGATGATGAAGAAGATTTAGGTCTCGTTTATTTCACCGACTTGAGTTTTCAATTCTAGTTTTGCTACAGTTAAAAGCTCTCACAAAAAGTCACATCTAACTTTTACTGTTACAGGTAAAAGCTCTCACATAAAGTCACATCTCAGCTCAAATTAAAAACTCAAATTAGCAAACTGAACAAGGCCTTAGTATTTCCTTTATCTTGTTTAATTATCATAAGTAAGACGTCAATAAGCACCTCTATGTCCATCAAAGATACCAAAAAAAAGGATATCTTTTTCAATGCCCATATGAGGACTAAGGAAATGTGTATCCTCCATGGTCTCTCTTCTTCCACATGTAGCAAAAGATCCCCATGATAGGACTGGGCGATATGTCAATGAGTCATCTGAAGAATCCAGCCAAGTCATCAAACCAGAATCAGCTGCACAAGTTCTCCGGGCAGAGTATTCTCCTTGAGTAGACCAGTTAACAGCCTCATGAAAAGGTTTTAAATTGTTGGAAACATCTATGTACTGATCGCCAAGGGAAGTAGGAAGTCCTCCAGTGACTGCTAGTCCCTGTGCTGTCTGTCTGTGTTCCAAAATCGAACTGAGTTCATCAACTATATCGTTGAAGGCCGGCCTATTTTGAGGGTTTGCATCCCAACATCTTTGTACCAAGGACAACAAAGTTGATGGTGCACCCGACTCGGGACCTGCAAGAACTGGTCGCAGACCATCAGACACTACAGCTGCTGTGAGTTGCTGCTCAGTGTAGTTCATCTCTAGTACAGTGTGTGCCTGCAAGGAGGATATTGGTAATTGAATATTGTCAAGAAGCTACCACGATGATGATGTTTTCTTTCAATAAGAAAAATACCAGAGTGTTGAATTGGAATGGAAGTTTGAGAAATTATACAGAAGCTAGAATGTTTTACAGCACAGACAATTTGATCCCACATGAGAAGGAATGTATACAATGATAATATGCACAATCTTGTGCATTCATCTATACTGGCTCATCACATGAAAGTAGCTATGCCAAACAAGTATCACAGGTAAGTAGCTATGCCAAACAAGTATCACATGTAAGTAGCTATGCCAAACAAGTATCACATGTAAGTAGCTATGCCAAACAAGTATCAGACAAACTCGAAAGAAATCTTATGTAAAAGTAAATTAATTTATTAACCTATATCACAACTTAAATAACCACATAAAGCAACTATCAAATGCATTTACCCAAAAAAAAAAAAAAAAAAACCGAATTAATTAGAGGAAATTTGATAAAGTTGGATGGGTGAAAAAAAAAGAAAAATAAATTAAAAAAAAAAGATAAGCTTAGCAGGAAAGATGAAGTAAATAAAATAAAATAGAGACTTTCCAACCTGGGCTTCTGCCCGAAGATCCGTGTAAGGGACAACACCGGTAATGAGTTCGCTGAAATAGGGCCATGTTAAAACTTCAGAGGTGGCACAGAACAAACATAAACCAAGAAACAAAACAAACAACAAACAACAAAAATAAACGTTTTGAAGTACGGAGAAAGATAAGAACAAAACGGAATAGAAATAAAATAACTGATTTGATGTCATATGATGGCAAAACAAATTCAAACAAAAACCAAGGCAATCTAAGCATATAAACTAGGTAGACCCAAAATATGTTCTTTGTCATCTGCCTAATAGATATTCCTGATTACAATTAGTCCAAGTAAACATAATGAGTATCAAATACTAATAATTGACCATGTCAAATATCACTTGCCTTGCAATGTGAAAATTTCAAATCAAAAGAATGGCAATATCAAAGTTTTTGTGTATTTCTTTCCCGCAATGCACCAACGGGAAGAACTAGTAACTTCTAATTAATTCAAGTGACTAAGATTTTTATGTCATCCAGCTAAAAAATCTAAGCTGACCTGTCCATATCTAGTGTGTATCAGGAACAGATTCACGTCTAAAAGGCCTAATATGGATTGTCAAAGTACTCTGTCTATCCTAGAACATAAAATTTGTTCTTGAACAACATATTGGTCCACAAATAAGTATCGGCTAACAAATACATACAGAACGAGACACGGCTTAACAGAGCAAGCGATTTTAGTATAACCAAATTGTTTGAAGTCTTACTTGATTGAGACACCAAAACTATAGACATCCGACTTCTCTGTATGTACTTCCTTCTTTAATATTTCAGGGGCCATGTAAATTAATGTACCAACCATATTTTTCTTGTGAAAACCACCAGTAGGTTTTCCAGATGAACTCCAATTCTCAACAGAAACTTTTTTCAAATTGTTCTTGTATTCTGCCAGACCAAAATCTGCTAGGTGTGGATTTAGATCTTTGTCAAGCTGCACAATAAGTACAGACATCACTTTAGTTATATCTGAAGCTAAAAATACAATTAAATAACAATTGGAAAAACAAAATAGCAACTGAAAAGAAGATTAGCGACTTGTGGTAGACATTTACAAGAATGTTTGCCGGTTTCACATCCCTATGTAAAATCCCGAGGTTATGCAGATACTGCAAGGCATTGGCTGGAAAAATAAAAAAAGTTGAAGGAAGAAAGTTCAGCCAACTAAACCTTCAAAACAAGCTCAATTACAACAAAGTATATGTAGAATATCGTATATGACACGGCAAGATTTCTGTGCTGAAAACATTTGAACAGTGCAACAAGAGTGAACAATTACAATCAGACTTGTCCTTAGCACTGTTAGCATTGTTCAACAATCATCAGTTTATCATAGTTGCCAATCTCTTCATAATTCCAAATCTCAAACCACTCCACTTTCTAAAGCATGAAAAACTCAAATAAAAATCAACACACCATTCAGAAAAAGATCCGAGGGAGGTACAGATCTATCAATGCCTAAACGAAAACAAAAGATGAACAGACCACAAGAGAATACAAGGGAAGTACAGATATACCTAAGCCGATAGCGATCATGAGGACCCGGTCGATACTAGGACTCCATTCTTCAACGTGCAACATCTCCGAAAGATTGGGAGACTCATAAAATTCAAAGAAAAACATGTAGTTTGGAGGCTTAGAATGTGCAGCAACCATTTTCGCTAGCCCAGGATGATCAAGCTTACTTCACAACCATTAAGAATCAAAGTAATTAATCAAACCAATCATCACTTCATTGCATTAAAATTTGTATCCACATACATAGAGCTCATTTGGTGTTGTTTATGCTATGGTTTTAACTTTTAAGCAGCACAAGAAGAGAAGTAAAAGGTACAGTTTTCAACTAGCATTTGAAACTACATTTACAAAAGTGCTTCATGGGACATAAATGATATTTAAATTTCTAATAAGCAATAAAATATTAGAGTGAAGTTTATAAAATCTTATTAAAGCCATTTTACAAGTTTCGTAGTCATCTTATAACATTTTTGGACTTCGACTGACCGCTCTCTTGAAGGGCAAAAACTCTTCTGAAAAATTATCCGAAACACTCCTCGAGAAACCTTTCGGACTCAAGAAACCAAAACCAGCTTTTAGGAAGCAATGCCAAACAGGAGAGAGAAATATATACCATAACAATTGCAATTCCTTGTGGAACTTATCAAGATCTTCAGAAGTTGACAAGACGGGTTTCTTCACAGCAACCCTTTTGCCATCCAAAGTTGCTTCATATACAACACTCTCAGCCCCTACTCATCACCACAAATTCAACACACAATCTTACAATTACTCAAGAAAATATATGAGTATATTATAACAATAATAATATAACAACAAATACTGTTAAATGCGTCTGTAGTCCCTGAACTTTGACTCTATTTCCAGTTTGGCCCTGAACCTTCATTTGTATGGTACAATGGTTCATAACGCCTGAACCTTTTCTCCCTCCGTCAAAATCCCAACTTGATCGTTGACCGAAAACCGCCTTTAATTTCGACAATTACAGGAACTATAAGCGATACAAAATGAAAGTTCAAGGACCAAAACGCAAATGTAAGATTCAACCCAATTTCTGCAATTCGAATTTGAGTAGGAGAGAACAACTTGCCTCGAGCAATAGGAGAGAGAAGAGTGTAAGAGGAAGGTGGAAGATGAAGAGGAATCGAAGCGCTCGTACAGCAGCCCCTAATACAAGTATTTGGCTCCACAATTTCAACCCCCATTTCTCTCTCTCTCTCTAAAAATCTGAAGAGAGGAAGATAGGCGAAAGAAGAGTTTTTAGGGGTAGCTGAAAGTTTTGAGACCGAAGAAGAGGACTTGCAATCATTGTCTGGTCTTGTCTGCCATTTGTCTCTGTGTCTGTACGAGAGAAAGCCAGGTTGCTTCGAAATTTCGTTCTTTTTTTTTTTTTTTTGTCCTTTCAGTATTCCCACAAGGAGTTTTTCACTGGACCGTACATATTTTTTTGGGATAGTGTTCATGTTTAACCCTTAAATTATATGACTTGTGTTATTTTACGGTCTAGGACCGTACATATTTTTTTGGGATAGTGTTCATGTTTAACCCTTAAATTACATTACTTGTGTTATTTTACGGTTTATTAATTTGTTAATTTAAATTTTTAATTTAAATTGAGATATAATTTTATATGAAAATTTTATATAATAATAAAAAAAATTAAATGTGACTGTTTTTAAAAAAAATTTATAATAATAAAATTTAAATTCTAAACTCACATCAGTGAAATAAACGGACTTTAACTTCTTAATTTTTAAAATGCACCACCATAATCCCTCAAACTTTATTTCCTTAGCAAAAAACTTTCTTCCATCCCACTTCCGTTAGTTTTAACCATGTTTTGTTGATTTGGTCCCCTAAAATGTACTTCTCTCTACCGATAGGGTGATAACTTATAACCCTTAGATTGTTTTTCTACAACTAATATTAAAAAGATGCACCAAATTAAAATAAAACTGAGCACAACTGTTATCTTAGAAAGAAAGTATTAAAAAAAAAAAAAAAAGAAAGAGAGCTTTGAAGGACTACACCCAAATTGGCAATCCCATCCACTACGTTTGGCGACCCTCTTCTCAACGCCGATGAGTTCCTACAATAGTGACAGTAGCGAGCACGTTGGATTGTTTTTCAACAACTGATATTAAAAAGATGCACCAAATTAAAATAAAACTTAGCTCAACTGTTATCTTCCAAAGAAAGTATTAAAAAAGAAAGAAAGAAAGAGAGCTTTGAAGGACTACACCCAAACTGGCGATCCCATCCACCACGTTTGGCGACCCTCTTCCCAACGCCCATGAGTTCCTACGACAGCAACGGTAGCGAGCACGAAGTCTCCCACCATTGGCGCTGGTGCTAACCCACCCAAACGGGCCCTCAAACTTTTATTGAATTACTTTTAAAGTCAAGAATGTATAATTGTGGATTAGACCCGCAAGTTTGGGCAAGATTAAGTAGGCCGACCTGAAATCCGCAACTGTTGAAGGCCGACTCTCTCTCTTTTAAGATCGGATCGGCCGGCCTAAATATTATATTTTTAAATTTTTTTATAAATACCTTATAAAATTTTGAATCGGGCTGGACCAACCATTTCCGGCCCAGCCTGAAATTTCGTTTTGGCCCTTTAGGTTCAGGTTGGCGGCCCAAACTTACGCTTTTATCGTGGATATCCTAGGCAGCACGGGCAGAACCCGATCCGTAAAAGAAAGCATTCGACCCGACCAACTATTGCTCCCCAACTAACATTCCCAAAAAAAAAAAAAAAGGCGCTAGCCAATCCCATTCCCTGATATCTCAAGTATTCTCAACAATCACGCATCTCGACGCCATTTCCATTTTCCATCCTCTCTCAAATTCCCTAGATTCTAATGACAAGGGGAAAAAAAATGAAGCCTTATGGATTCTCTTTTGTAACGTTACTGAGCCTGGCGATTGTACTCTGCGGGCTCTGCAAGTTAGGGTTTTGCCGAGAAGATCCATTAATTAGGATGAAGCTCGGCGATTTCGATGGCTCTCGGAACGAAAACGCCGAAGCCATCGCTCGCTTCGCTGTTCAGCAACACAACGAACAGCAGGTTTCATCGTCTTTTCCTAACTTTTGCTATTAAATTTTTGGTCTCATCTGTAATCATGATTCAATTCGACAGTTGATATTTAAGAAATTCAATTCTTTTTTTTATGTGCCTTGTAATTTTTGGAATTGATTTGTGAATTTTGGTTTACGTTATGGCGTAGAACGCGCTTCTTGAGTTCGCTAGGGTTTTGTCATCCAGAGAGCAGCTTGTTGCTGGGAAGATATATCATCTGACATTGGAAGCCATTGATTCGGGAAAAAGAAATATATACGAAGCTAGGGTTTGGGTGAAGCCATGGATGAACTTCAAGCAATTGCAGGAATTCAAATTTGCGCATGACGTTCCGTCCTTTACTTCTTCAGACCTCGGCGTTAAACCAGGTAATCTACCTTCTCTTTTTCTTTTGTTCTTTTTTTCTTCCCCCTACCTTGTACGGACTGAATCCCGTTTTTTATGCCCTTTTTTGTCGGTTAGAAATCAATTCGTAAGTTTGTCTTTTAAGCGTGGTTTATGAAGTTGTGAAGTATTGCTTGCGTTAGTAGTCATAAGTAGAGCAATATTTTGCGTTAAGATTTTACAGGATTTTAATGGTAAACGGAGACCTCATTTACTTTGTTCCATGCATTTGGGTTATTTCCGATCGGTCTCACTACTTATGCTCTTTCTTGCGTTTCTGTTCCCTGTGTCCGACTTTCACCAAGAATAGCTTCTTCCAAGGGTAAAATTTTACTTGTCATCTTATTCTCATTATCAAAAGTTCTGTTTTTCGTTGAAAAATTTTGTGAAAGGCATTACTGCTACAATAGGAGGATAGATTAAGAGCTTATACTAGATCTGGGAAATGATTGATTCATGTTGAATACTAGTTTCAAGTTTTTCCTTTTTTGGTTGGCGTGTTGCATCGTTTGGTCCATAAATAGAAAAGACAGTGAATGGTGTCAGGGAACTTGGAAGAACCAAAGAAGTACAATTCCGTATCGTTGCCACTTTATGGAATTAGATGCTAGTTCGAGTTTCTATCAACTCAATGTCAAAGGTTTTCAGAATATGTATGGTTCAATCTGAAAGATCATTCATTTCTTTTGTTTTCCTTTATTCCTGTTTGGTTCTGAAAAAGATGGTCTACACACACATCCTTAGGGATTATTCAGGTGCTCATAGAGGCCTGGATACCCTAGATTATCAAATATATATATATATATATATATATATAGTTTTTCTTATACAAAAAAAGGGTAAATCTTTGGCTTTCAATTTAGAATGTTAACTAGTTAAAATCATCTCTCACAAGTTAGATAAAAATGCTTAAATAAGTTGATGTATTCATCAAATATCTAGTTCTTAATTTCTATAAAAAAAAAGAAAAAAAAAAAAAGAGTACTTCTTCTTCAGTCACTTTGACTTGTGTGCCCTGATTAGGACACATAAATATACCCATATTTTTGTGTATCATTTTCATTATTTATAATTTCGGGTTTCATTATTATCATTTCACCCGAAATTATAAATAATGAAAATGATTTAGATGAGGCTACTTGGTCATATGTAGGTGATGTAAATACTATGTGGGATGCCATGGCCAGTTGCATTAGAAAAGTGGCAAATGAGGTACTATGGGAATCTAGAGGTAAAGGCCTCCTGGGAAAGAAACCTGGTGGTGGAGTGAGGAAGTTCAAAAGGCTATTAGGACCAAGAGGATTTATATAGAGATTTACCAAAGTGTAAGGATGTTGAAACTTTTAATAAGTTCAAAAACGCGAAGAAAGAAGCTAAGCTAGCAGTTGGTAAGGCTCGTTCTACTTAGATAAGATATATAGGAAACTTGGGACTAGAAAAGGAGAGAAGGATATATATAAACTAGCGAAGATAAGAGAAAGGAAGTGTCAGGACCTAAATCAAGTGAGGTGTTATTAAGGATGATACGGATCAGGTTCTGACAAGAGATAAAGACATTAGAGAAAGGTGGAGGAGTTACTTTGAGAAGCTTTATAATGATGATCATGCGATAGAGTTTGACAATCTTAGGTCACAAGTAGAACCTAATGTAATGTATACAAGAGGAATCTGAGTCTCGAAAGTTAAAACTGCACTATGGAAGATGAAAAAGGGGAAAGCATGTGGGCCAGATGATATTCTAATAGAGGTTTGGATGGCGTTAGGAGATGCTGGAATTGTGTGGCTCACTAAGCTTTTTAATGAGATATTAAAGAAGAAACATATGCCTGATGTATAGAGGAAAAGTATTCTTGTCCTCATCTTCAAGAATAAAGGAGATGTGCTGAATTGTAACAATTATAGGGGCATAAAGTTAATAAGTCACACTATGAAACTTTGGGAGAGAGTTATTAAAAGGAGATTAAGGGCCACAACTACCATCTCAGGTAACTAATTTGCTTCATGCCTGGTAGATCAACCACGAAAGCTATTTTTCTTCTTAGGATGCTTATGGAAAGGTATAGAGAAGTCAAGACGGACCTACATATGGTCTTTATAGATTTAGAAAAGACATATGATAGGGTGCCGAGATAAGTTTTATGGTGGGTGCTAGAAAAGAGATGAGTGCATGTGAGGTATATTAAGGTAATTAAGGACATGTACGATGGGGTGGTCACGAGTGTGAGAACTGCTGGAGGCTTCATGACAGAGTTCTCCATTCAAATTGGCCTTCATCAAGGATATGCTTTTAGTCCTTATCTTTTCACCATCGTGGTGGATGAGCTGACAAGAGAAATCCAAGATAGAGTTCCTTGGTGTTTGTTTTTTACGGATGATATAGTTTTAGTTGATGAACATAGGGAAGGAGTTAACCGTAAACTAGAACTGTGGAGACAGACTCTCAAGACGAAGGGATTTAAGTTAAGTAGGACGAAAACTGAATGCATGTGTAGGTTTAGTAACTGAAGTAAGCAGAGTGATGAAATTTCTTTAGATGGTGCGGAGATTGGGGCTTCTAGGAAGTTTAGGTACATTGGGTCTATAGTGCAGTACGAAGGAGATATAGAAGAGGATATTCAACATATGATTAAGGCAGGGTGGGTTAAGTGGAAGAATGCTAAGAGAGTTTTATGTGATGGCAAGATGCCTATTAAGTTGAAAGGAAAGTTCTATAGGACTATAATCTGCCCAGCTATGTTATATGGTAGTGAATGTTGGGCCATTAAGAGACAACATATATTTAAGATGAGTGTGACAGAAATGCGTATGTTAAGATGGATTAGTGGCCATACGAGAATTGATCGCATATGTATTGAAGTTATTCGTAGTAAAGTAGGTGTAGCACCAATAGAAGATAAGGTGCGCGAAGGCCGCTTGAGGTGGTTCGGGCATGTCCAACGTAGACCGCTAGAAGCACCAGTTCGTGCTTGAGAGGACATTCTTATACCTAATACTAAGAGAGGGAGGGGTAGCCGTGTGAAAAAGTGAAATCCATATAGCCGACCACAATTAAGTTGGGATTAAAGCTCGTGCTTGAGAGGACATTCTTATACCTAATACTAAGAGAGGGAGGGGTAACCGTGTGAAAAAGTGAAATCCATATAGCCGACCACAATTAAGTTGGGATTAAAGTTTTGTTGTTGTTGTTATCATTTCACCCAAAATAATCATATATCAAGCAGTTGAGCTTGTTCAACTAATCACATGGTTCATTGATATTTGTGTCAAATATTCAACAGATTTTGGTGCAAAAAATAATTTGAACTTTCTGACGGTGGTGAACAGCTATGGTTTTGTTTTTTTTTTTTTTAACATAGAACTGTTGTTTACAGCAAGGGATGTAATACATACAGTATTTTTCATATACACCTCTTCAGCTAGTGGCTCTTTCCAGTTACAAAGAGTCCTGCCGGCTATCTCTTGCCACGTTTCTTGTGTTGCAGATTGACTTGTTGATGTTTTTACTGCCTTTTAAAGTCAGTAGCATTTCATGGGTTATTCCCTGTCCATTTTGGGCTTCTCTTTAATTGTTTCCCTAAATGTTGCGCTTTGAGCAACAAAGTGTGTTTGCTATTTGGTTTAGAACTTTTACCCAAAAAAAAAAAAAAAAGTTCAGAACTTTTTGTTTGGAAGCTCAGATCTGGTTGTGTAAGTAATTTCAGATGAAAACAGAATTGGTGAGCCCTCCTCCTCTTTGCCATGAATTTGGCTTGATTTACCTTCTTGCTGCGTCACTTGTTCTATCGAACGGGTAGAAATTTTGACACATTAAATCTATGGTGTTTGTCTCTGCTCGTTCTATCCAATAAGTAGAAATATTTAAACAAAATCTGTGGTGTTTGTCTGCTCGGCCAAGCCTCAATATCTTCATAATCTATTTTATATTTTTTTCGTCGAAGATTCTTATTCTTGGCAATTTAGCTTTATGTTCTTCCTGCGACTCAGAGAACTCCTGTATTCTTGCATCGACCTGAAAATTTATTTTCTTCGTTATTGTAAGATGTAGAACCCTTTTGACATTTGTCTGCCCCTGTTTAGTAATAACATGAAGAAGCCACCTCCCAACTTTTGCTTCCTCCTTTTCTTGCTTTGTTTCATTCTTAAAGGGTTCCCTATGCAAATAATAGTAGTTGTACCAAACCAGTGCCACCTCATGATACCGAAGTCCAAGATGCAGCAAACTATGCTGTTAAGTCCCTTCAGTTGAATTCCAGTTCCATGTTCTCGTATGAACTTTTGGAGATCCTTTTAGCCAAGGCCAAGGTTGGTTCGTGCTAATTAGGTTCTGTTTTCCCATGTCCCTTCTATTCCCAACTAACGTCACTCTTGGGTGTATTTGTGGCTTTTGATGGTCCAGTTATCTATTTGATCTTGTTGTCTTGCTAAGGGAGATTGCTTTTCCTGTATTGCAGGTAATTGAAGATCATGTCAAATTTGAGTTACTTCTGAAGGTGAAGAGGGGGATTAAGGAAGAGATATTTAGGTTTGACCTGAATAAGAACTTTATAGGATGGTACTGTCTGAGTCGGGTGGAACAAGCTTATTCCTGAATCAAGTTATTCTCATTGTATATATATGTAAGTATTACTTGTGAATTACTGTAGCTTACTATCTATTAGATGTGATACATAAAAAGTTGATAGGAAAGGCTTTAAAAGTTGGTAAAATGCGTTGAGAATTAGCCAACGCCTGTATATGTGTGTGTGAAAACTAAATCCTATTACTTGCTTGTAGATGAATTTCAGCTTTTGCAACCATGTATGATTTATGTTGACATGTTCTTTTCTTTCATGCGGTGACTCTTGGTTTTTCCAAATACTTTTACTAGCTGGCTCTATTTGGGAGTAGTTGTTGCATCATCGTGTTGGGAGGAGTCCGCTAGTTTGTATGATTTTACACCTTCCAACTCTTTGTTTAAACTTTAAAATGGTTTCTTGTTTCTACTATGCAATTACCTTTAGTAATATCATTCAGCCAGGTAATGTTTCCTTTATCATTATTCTTTCACAAATGTTATGGCGCTAATTTACTCTTATATGGGAGAATTATACAAAAGAGCATTGAATCAACCTAGAAAAGTAGAGCATTAAAATAAATAAATAAATAAATGTCTACATAGTGAGAGAGTTATTCCTACTGATAACGATGATCATTGCCATACTTGAATCTTCACTTCTTTTGCTTCAATTTTTTGGGCTACAGTTTCCGACCTAGCTTCCTATTAGCTTATGTTTTCTTATGCGTTTTTTGGAGGTTTGGGACCGATAACAACACAAAGCAAGAGTCACAACTGGTGCTACTAACTTTAGGGACCGTTACGAAGATCTTAATGGCAGTATAAGATTTTATTTAGGGACCATTAGTAGCATTTGTGGTATGCGAAGATCTTATTTAATTTGAGTAGCAAGAGTCACAAGTCACAACTCCTTTGGTTTTAGTAGCATTGATAGGGTAGAAGATATGATGCAGGGAGGGAACATTAGCAAATTAATACTCTTTAACACGTAGCTACTGATTTTGGACTCCTCCTCTGTTCATTTTTAGTGCCAATATTAGTGTCTAATTAGTAATATCATGTCACGTTATATAAAAAATTTAGACTTTTTTTAATTAATATTTTTGTATTTATTATGAGATGATGTGACGTAATTTAATTAGTTAGATATCAATTAGCACACTAAAAACTACATAGAGGATCTGATCTACTGATATCATAGTTTTTCTACAACAAACTAGATACAAGTACTGTTATTCTCATTGTTGGTCACTCATCACGATCCGCTTGTTAATAAAAAGAATTTGATGGGAAAAAAAAAATGTCAATCCTATTCTGAGAATTTAAGTACTGCATGTCATGGCCATATTACACTTAACAAGTATGTATATATTTAACCAAACGGCCTTGTAAAGCGTGGGCAATAATAAATAAGGGTTATTCTCATTCATTCGTCACGTTCCGTTTGTCAATAAAAAGAATTTGATGGGAAAAAAATGTAAATCCTACTCTGAGAATTTAAGTACCGCATGTCATGTGCATATTACACTTAACAAGTATGCATGTATTTAACCAAACGGCCTTGTAAAGCGTGGGCAATAATAAATAAGGTTTGAAGTGGCGGTGATGCAATGTATATGCGCCAACTCGTCAGACTATGATAAATAAGGTTTGAAAGGGCATTGTTGCATAGTTCGAGACATTATGTGCCATTTATTACTTTTGAAACGTCTAAACGACATCTTAACAATTAACATGACAAACACTAATCATAATACATGTATACAGTCGTTGTCCAAGCTGTGCTTGTGTATTATTTGTCCGTAAGTGTTGACGGTGGAATTTTATCAACAGAAATACACCGAGTTACCTCTAAGTATTCCGTTGAATTACCGGTTTTAATATTGACTATGTATTTGAAATTATGCCTATGAGGTATTTACGGTATTTTTTGGAAGCACGAAAAATACAAGGATATAGCTTTGAGTAGAATGACACGAGATTTTTATAGTAGTTCACTTTGTTAATCAAGAGCTACTTTCACTGTGATTTTGTATTCCTTTTGAAATTGTTACAATTCACATCAATCGTTGTTCTCTCTTCTTTTTTTCCTCTAAAAAGCTCTTTTTTTCTTGTATGGGGCTTTGCCCCTTTTATACCTAAGATTTCCTTCGTGGGCGGTTCTCTTTTGTAGGTAGTAGCACTCGAGTAGTCTACCTTTTTAGGCTCAGACCGTAACCCACTAATCACTTTTTGAACTGTTCACTTAGCCAATTAGTCTCCCATTACTGCTCTGTAGATTCCTGTACCCCTTCTTTGTTCACTGTAGGGCGGTTTAGGGTTTGTAATTAATGCCTGTACTGCAGACATCCCCCACCCTTAGACGCAACTTGTGATGTCAGGCTTCCTTCTAAGGGGTATTCCTCTCGCCGTCTGCGTTACTTAGAACGTGCGTCCTTCCTGGCCGTCAACCCTTCTCCGAGGAATTCCTTGTCATAAGGTCGACGGTATGACGTGTCGACAGTATGTCGAGTTGATGCCCTAAATCGGACTTCCTTAGCAGTGTAGAGGGGAATCGAGCTTCAAGTGTCGAGGGTTATTGCCTTCCGGAGAAAAGTAAGGCCACGTGTCACGCTGTCGCCCTTCTACACGCCGTCCATATTTTCCCACACAACAGTAAGCATCTGATCTTTTGATTTCCGATTAATCTCACTCGTTTGACAAATCAAAAAAACATAAAATATGTTTACGGGTCCAACGATTACCAATTTGTACTGATAATCTTTCTATATTAGGATCATTTCGCCAAAAAGTGTTAAAACCCGTGGAACAACAACAACAACAACAATAATAATAATAATAATAACAACGACTCCTCTTGTAAAAGTTCAAAAGAGCCACAATTTTGACCACTCTTTTAACACATAATCCAAATCCTAAAGAAAAATAGAGAAGGGTACCAATAACACAATACTGAAAATTACTCATCCACAACCTCGCGTTTATACAAGTGGGAAGGTAGCCTTGGAGTGGCAATAGCTTGTAATGGGGTGCGCATGTAAGTGACCATCCCTGGGCTTTCTGCCAAGTCAGTGTCCTCTGGCTTCATTCCTTCAGGTGGACTCCAACGGAAGTGATGCAATAGGTGGCCCAACATGGACGTAACCAAATTTATACCTAGTTGAGCTCCGGGGCATACCCGACGACCCGCCCCAAAAGGCAAAAGCCTATAATCATGGCCCTTCATGTCAACATCCTCCTCTAGGAACCTTTCAGGGCGGAACTCATTCGGGTCTTTCCAAACAGCTGGGTCACGGGCTACGGCCCAGACGTTAACGTGAACGATCGAGCCCTTAGGGATGTCGTAGCCGCCGATCTTGACATCTGCGGTGGCTCGGTGGGGAAGCATCAATGGTGTTGGAGGGTGCAATCGCAATGCTTCCTTGGCTACACATTGTAAGTAAGGCAGGTTTGAGAAGTCAGTTTCATTAAGGACCCGCTCCAACCCGATAACCCGGTCTAGCTCTTCTTGGGCCTTTTGCTGCACTCTCGGGTTCCTGATTAGCTCAGCCATACCCCACTCAACGGATATAGCCGTAGTGTCCATGCCCGCAGTGATCATGTCCTGCCCAATGGCCAAATCATCACAATAACTAATTAGTACCAACTTTTTTTCTTTAAAAAAAAAACAAAACAAAAAAAGCGTTCTTAATTTAGCTCTACCTAACAATTTCCATTCATAAAGTATACACTTTAGCCACGACCTTGAGTTAGTTATTAAATTCAAGATGGGTTGTAGTCCCAACTACCCAACTAAATAATTGTTATTTCCATGTACTTTTTGTCCATCCTAGTCCATAATTCCAAGTGAAATAAAGGTAAGGTTCCCAACTTCCCTAAAGTTGAAGACAAGTACGTTTTATGTTTTTATCAAAGGCACCAGAAGGGAACGGGGACTAGTGCTAACACCTAAAACCTACTTCCTATATGGCCGTGACATAATCAATATACAAGAATAACGTTAGAGATCTCATTTTTCATTCCAATTGTAGAGTTGACATACTTTAATGATAGGTGTATAAAGAATTCTCCACGCCAATTATAATTATAATTTTTTTTTATATATACAATGAAAAGATAACTAATGTCATAGAAAATTTGAGATAAAAGTTGGTGTCCTAACACCAATCCTAAATAAAATAACATAGAAAAAGAGTGAACATACCCAAAGGAGTCCGATAATGGTGTCGTCACTAATGTCATACTTGTCCTGCAAAGTGAGCAAAGCGTCGACAAAATGTTGTTTGGTACCACCACCCTGCTTGCGAGCTTGAGTGTGCTCTTCCATGATGATCTTGGTGAGTCTGTCCCTGCGATCTCCATGCTTGATGAATGCCTCCTCCTCTAGTGGGAACATCCAACGCAGCCAAGGGATGTGCTCCGCCATGTTAAGCGACGCGCCGATCTTAATCCCGTTCGAGACAATTCCCTTGAATTCCTTCCCTTGCTTATTTACCACCCCCTCGGAGTTCATAAACCGCTTCCCAAACACCAGCCTTGTTATGTTGTTGAAGGCCACCGCCTCTAGGAAATTCCTCACCCGCAAACTTTTGCCATATTTTTCTGAACATAAAATCCCAAATCAGATTTGATTGAAACAAAAGCATTTATTTAGGCCATTTTATGCATTTTAGGCCAAACTATGAGAATTAGGAGACGCTATAGTCCAAAGAAACTTCAAGTGCTCCTACTTGTGTCCTATCTTAAGCCCCTCTTTTGTAAATGCAAATAAAGAAATATTTTAATGCAATCAATTAAAAAAGGATTAAACAAAGACGTTATGTGGTTATCAGTCACGATATAGTAATTGCAAGCAATATTTTGCTCAGAAATTTATTAAAAGCACATATTTACTGGGGGGTACCTACACAATCTGCAGATAATAAATTTAGGTTTTTTTTATTTATTTATTATTTTTTTTTTTTTTTGCGGGCAAAAATTTTTTTTTACAAGCTTAACGGAGTATCCAAACTGGATTTTAGTAAGTTGTAAGATAAGGTATAAGATGTAAGATGAAATCTAATTAATCAGATATCTAATATGAGAGGTATAAAAGAAACAATATTTAAATAACCGAAACCAAAAATCATCTTTTCTCTGTTTTTCTTTTCTTCTTTTCCCCCAATGGCCATATTTTTTGTATTGGATTTATAAGTATATAAAAAGTCAATTCGCATGTCTGGTCTTTTCAAGATACTGGACGCGTGATTCCGCATTGCTCAAAATAACCAACTTTTGTGGAGAATAACTTCATCCCTACTAAACATGGGACAACTAATTCCATGATATTATCTATCTTTGAAAAGATTAATGTTTTAAACTTAGTTTAATTTTTATTATGCACCAATTATTGGAATATTAAGTATAATCCAGTCCAATCAAAATTTTGTCCAATTTGATGATTAGTGATTATTTTTCTAAAATAAAAGGTCAAAACAAATATATAAGATATGAATTCAAAGAATTTTAAAAAAAAAAATATGAATTAATAACTCTTGACATACCTCATGAATTATAGGAAGAGCAATTCTCAGAGGAAAACCATTGCCATAGAACATTAATTAATACCGAATTTATATAATCCCACAATATTGTTTTATTACAATGGGACGACACACAAATTTAAAAGACTATAAGAAATTTCAATTTCAGGAATCATAAAGTTTTTATTTTCACCTTACTAAATATTTTTTTAATAAAAAACTTTAACCTTTACTAGAAAACAAAGAAGAAAGAAAATTCATATCAAATCAAAGAGTGAAAAGGACCAAAAAAAAAAAAAAAAAAAAAAGAAGAAGAAAAGAAAGAAAATCAAGGCCATGGACCTCTTGATTAGATTGTGAGATTATTTTCGTCAAAAGAAAGCGGGATTTTTTTTCTTCCAAAAAAAAAAAAAGTGGGGTTTTTCTGTCTGCCTAAATGAACGGGTCGGCCACTCAACATAATTGCCTTGCATTACTTGTTAACCATGCGGACATTTTCTAGGACCATCCAAACTGTAACATTTAGTACGACATTACATGAACCTTTTTTTTTTTTTTTTTTTTTTTGAAATGATACATGAACCTTCTTGAATATGCATAATCACGATTCTTGACAATCTATTGATTTATTATCGCAAATGTTCTTTTTAATCAAGAAAAATTACTCCGCTGTGCTTGTCTGTGTGATGATCCAACAAGGAGAAAAAAAGACAGATGTTTTCCTGTCATTTTGCTTTTATTTTACAGCTTTGAGGTTTTTTCTTTTCTTTTTTTTCCTTCTTTTTTATTTTTTATTTTTTGTGTGGTTGGGGAAGGTGGATTGTCCACATATTAGTTGAGTATTGATTACGAAAGCTAAAACTGGGACAACACGCCACACTTTTGTATTCATCTAGATTGACGTTATGCACAAGTCTTTTTCTTACCGACCACCAACCCACGCAGCACGCCCATCACACATTTCCTCAAAAGAAAAGAAAAGAAAAGAAAAAAAAAAACGTTTATGTTTTTTTTTTTCGTTTTTTTTTTTATTGAAAAGAGTATAAAAAAAAAAAAATTCCAAGAGCACAATAATACATGCAATATCTAAGTAAGGAATTAATTTCTTAATTGGCTTTGTCACATAAAATGAGATATTAAAGTCATATTTATTTTACCGATTTGAATTTAAAATTTAATTTTTTCTACAGTAAAAAAGTCTTAAAAATTGTAACATATAACGTTTTTACTACAATAAAAAAAAATTTTCATATAAAATCATATCTCAACTCGAATTAAAATTTTAAACCAGCGAATTAAACGGTCATAAATTCTTAAATGATAAAGAAAACTTTAGTTACAAGGAAAAGAAAAGGCAACCAACTTATGCATTTTTTAATCTTTTTTTTTTTTAAACAACACAAACTCCTATTTTGAGAACATTATCAGTTCAAAATCACTTTAGGTCATGCTAAAGGATCTAGATCTAAAAATATTACCGCAAAACAACGTTATTACTTCCCAATACACCATTCTATTTTAGAGTGTCGTAAAAATAAATCTGAACCGTCAAAAATAAAAGTCAACAACCTGTTAACAAAAAAATTTAAACCGTCAAGAAAATGTCAACTACCTCTTGATAAAAAGGGGGAAAAATTCTCAACAAATGATATTATTTTTTTAAAATGCAAATTAAAACAATTTTTAAGTCTTATCTAGTTGTTTTGAGCTAAAAAGTGCTAAAAGAAATTTGAGAAGTATTATAGTATTACTCGAAAAATAACCTAAAAATGAATATCCTAAGTTAATAACTTTTTAGTAAAAGAAAATTATTGGTGCCCCTTCTTTACATAAAGCAAATGTAAAGATATTTGTCTGCTTAATTCATTGCGAAGTCGCAAACGCACGCAACTACTATCATTATTACTCTTTTTTTTTTTTTTGTCTTTTTTTGTTTTTTTTTTTTGGGAGTTATCAAATGCACCTAACTAGATAAAAAAAAAAAAAAAAAATCCGTATATATTAATGGATGTGAGATCAAGCAGAAAAATAGTTAAAGAAATTGTAGCGTCGCTGTTTTTATCATTTTTTGTTATTTTTTTCCGTCACTTTTTATGTGTACGGTTTGACATATAAATTTAATTATTTAATTTTTTATTTAAATAATAACATATCATATTAATATAATTCATGTGTTAAATAATAAATAAATAATAAATATAAAAATTATAAACAAATTAACGCTAACATTTTATATAGTTAAAAAGTATTTTAAATCTTTAAATGTGGTGAAACAAAATTTCACCCTTTTAGTTTATAAATTTAAACAAAAATTTAAATTTTATGTAAAAAAAAATATTATAATAAAATATTTGAAAAGTAAGGTCTCGTTCACTTCACCGATTCGAGTTTTTAATTTTAGGTTTTTACAGTAAAAAATTCTCAAAAAATATCACATCTAACTTTTTCTGCTACAGTAAAAAACTTTTAAAAAATATTATATCTCAACTCGAATTAAAAACTCGAATCCGCGAAATAAACGATGCCTAAATAAAATTTTTGAGACAAATAAGTCAATTGATAGAGATTTAACAGGTGATATGAGTCTAAAATAGGAGAGTTTAAATCACTTCAAAAAGAAAAAAAAAAAAAAGATTCCTGCTCTCTCCACTTTTCTTTTATCTTATTGATTATTCAACATTCCAACTAATATTTTTTCATTAGCAAAAAAAAAAAAAAAAAGAAAAACATTTCAACTACTATTTATATTTGCATGTCGTGACATTTAAATTTAAAGATTTTAATCGCATGGATAAAACCTAAATACTAAAAACGCTTGTAAGAAATTAAATAAGACGTCAGAGCAAATCATAACTCAAAATAAATAAAGAAAAGAAAGGACAAGAAGAAATTGATTTTAAAGAAAGCAAAAAAGAAAGAGAAAGAAGAAGGAAATAACGTAACATACCGGGATTGGCGCAGTCCTTGAAAATGGACTCAACCATGGCCCTAACCTCTTCCTCTCTGATGTGTCTCATTGCCTCAAGCCTCTTAGGCGTGAAGAGCTCAAGAGTACAAAGCTTTCTCACCTTCACGTAATGAGGTCCATAATCGGCCCAAATCAGGTCCTTCCCGTCTCTGCTGACCCTCGCCGCCGATCTGCTCCGGTGTCGGTCGGCCAGATGCTGATCATTCTCCTTCAGCACTTCCTTCGCCAGCTCCGCCGTCGACACCACCACGTTCAGAGTGGCCCCAAACCACACCGATATGATTGGCCCATAGGACTGGGCCCATTCCGCAAAGCAACGGAACCTCACTGGCCTAATGTCGTAGAGGTTTCCGACTACCGGCCAAGGGCGTGGGCCCGGGGGGAGCTTGAATCTCAGCCGTTGGTAGAGCTTGTATGAGAGAAGGAGGAGGGCGATTGCGATGGGAATGATTAGAAGGAGAGCCATAATGGAATAGAGAGAAAGATGGAGAGAGTTTTTGTATGAAACTTTGGTTGGGCTTTGGTATATATGAGAGTTGGTTGGGTTTTAAATTTTTTTTTTTTTTTTTTTTTTAGGGGATAGTGTGGTGGGGTTGGTGAGTAGATTTGAGATGAGATATTGATTTGTCCACGTTTTGGTTTGCAAATTTGTGAAGGGAGAGAGAAAGGAAAGAGATGGAGCTCTTACCAACCATACAGTGAAAAAAAAAAGTGTTTTAAAATTCTAAATTATGATTCAAAAAAAAAAAAACTCAAAAAAGGAGGATAAAAATAACAAACATTCGGAGATGTTCACCGTACTATAAAAAAAAAATTAAATGTGATATTTTTTACTGTAAAAATTTAAAATTAAAAATTACAATAGAATTTTATAACTTAATGAATATTTTGTGGTCCGAAAGTACACCATGTATGATAATTCTTGTATTTACGAGAAATTTATTATGGTAAATATTTTTGTCGCTATGGCCATTACAATAGAATTTCCCGAATAATAGGTTAAGGTAACAAGCTAAAAATTGGTAAATCATTCACAGGATATATATTATAATGATGTTTTCCCCCCCTTGTGTTTTGCAGTAAAATTCTTCAGTTGATACTTTCTAAAATACAAATTAATTACTAGTTCACTAGTGAAGCACAAGTGCTTGTTATTTTTAAATGCTAATTAGAAACTTTCTGGCTGTTAATCTTGATGAGCTCCGCCAACTATGGTCATGATTTAAATCAACAGACATGGGGTCCACAACTATGGTAAATGATATTAGTAATCAGATAAAATTCCAAATAGCAATTCATTGATCATGAAAGATGTGACCGATTTATTTCGCTCATTTGAGTTTTATTAGAGTAAAATCTTTTTAAAAACAGTCATATTTAATTTTTTTATTATAATAAAAATTTCTCACGTAACATCATATTTTAATGCGAATTAAAAACTCAAATTAGCTAACTAACGGTTGAGTAACCGTCATTTTGCCTGTGCAGCATTTGTTTCTCTAGTTGGTGGAGCCAATCAAAAGGAACCACGTGGACTTGTTCAATGGTCAAGTGGCGCTTTGGAGAGAGGTTTGAAGTATGGACACTTCTCCGGTGTATATACCACCAAAATAGAAAAAAAAAAAAAAAAAAAAAAAAAAAAAAAAAAAAAAAAAAAAAAAAAAAGGAAAAGAAAAAAATAATAAATAAAGGCTTCTAGCTAGCGTGGTTGGTGAGTGATGTGAGAACAACGGAATCAAAGAGACTTGCAAAATAAATGAAAAAGAAAAAGACGGTCCTTTTGATTTGGCAAAGAATGTTTTATTACGAAGGAAATAGTCACGCACCATAACATAAGTCCCTAACATATAGAAATGATATAGCATGAAATATATTTTACATAACAATAATGTTGAAAAATATATGAAATTATGGTACGGCATGAGATGGTCTTGCAAAAATACCGAATCCTTTGCACACAAAAAAAAAAAAGACTTTTTATTAATTAAGATCTTATTTATTTCACTGATTTAAATTTTTAATTTTAAATTTTTATAATTAATTTTTTTTTAAATATCACATTTAATTTTTTTTATTATAATTAAAAACTCTCTAAAAAAAATTATCATATTTTAATTTAAATTAAAAACTCTAATTCTTGATGCGAAGGAGGCCTCGGGAAGCTGAGGTTGGTGACGAAGTAGACCTTTCTCTGACTTTTTTAGCCCACAGATCATACTTATCCATTTATTTAGTAAAACATGCGGCTCAATTATCACCTGCAACATGTGGTTGGAAATTTGGAATTGTGTCTGCGGTGAAACTCAGCCACGTATAAATCCCCAAGTAAATTAAGTTTTTCCTGACTAAAGTATATTCTGAAGATACACTGATCAAACCATGAGATTCTGACATACATAATACCAACATATCTGATGCTTAAAATATGTTAATTATCTTAACATTTTAATTAACATGACATAATATTATTAAAGAGACATATAAAAATAAATAAAAATAAGCATCACAAGTAACCATATATTATATCAAGTAATTAACTATATCCTGACAAATGCTTATCAAAATCATACTAATAATAATTGATAGGCACTAAATATACAATATTGCTTATCAAAATCGATTGTAGAGATGTTATTTAAAAGAGACATAAGAGTGCGCGATTGTTATTTCACTTTTTAGTTGAATTTTAATTTTAATTTATGTTATTTTCTGTCCTATAAGAAATGGAGTCAAAGTTTCTAATCTTTTGGGACTATATATAAATTTCGTGTTTATATATAGAAGCTTAAAAAACAAAAATTGAGAGGGACTTTTTAATCTCTTAAGGGGTTATATATATATTTTGGCCTATACATAACTTAAAAAAAAAGTTGATGGGGCTTAAGTCCTCCTAAGGATGCGTTTGATTACAGTGGTGGAATAATAATGGGAATGGAATGGAAAAAAAAGTTGATTTATTTGTTTTATTATAATTTTAAGAATTCTCTAGAATAGAACATGAGTATTTTCATGTTGACAAATTTACCATTATGTTGTATATAACACTAATATTTTATCTATCAATATAATATATAAAATGATATATAATATAATAAAATTATTATTATATAATATATTATATAATCATGATATATAATATAACAATATTATTAAAATTGTTAATATAATTATAATATTATAATATATAAAATGTAATATAATATAATAAAATTATTATAATATAA